GCCAATCAGGAGATTGTGGGCGGTCTAAACTCAGGGACGTGGGCTTCATCTTGAGCTGCGGTTTTCCGCTTGGTCCTAGTGCTCAACGAATGTCTATGTCCTGTAACGTAACATTGTTTTTAGACAGTAAAAAGTGCAGGGGACCAAAAAAGATGTTTGAAAAAGTGCAGGGGACATGTCCCCACTGTCGCCCCCCAAAATTGGTTTCAATAGAGCCTCAATGAAAAAAATGCTGAGACGTCTTGTACTTACGCTCTTCACAGAGTCGACCCATCCAGCCCTCTGGACAGGCACAGATGTTGGGCCGCTGGCACACCCCTCCGTTCTGACACTGCAGCCAGCACAACGCTGTAGGAGGGGACGCACAGAAACACATCAGACTTATTTTTGGAGAGGTTATAGAGTAAAACGTGAACACCCGGTAAACGTAGAGAACAGATCGACAGTTTTCTTGTTTTTTTTCTTTTTTTAGGAAGGACAGGTGTTATTTATTTTAAACATGAAAATTCATGCTTTCAAACAAACTACACCACATGCAACAGATGTATTTGCTCAAAACACACTGATGAAGAATGCACACAAACAATCTCAGCAGTTGTAATGAAGGACCTTGCCTGGACTCAGCTCTTGTTTTCAGCACATAAAACACTCAGTGATGATAATGGAAGCTTTAAATGACCAGAAAAACCTGAGATCTGGTTCAACTGTTCTATAAAATACAAGTAGATTCCACCTTGATTAAAATAAACCTTTATCTACACAGCACATCATCAGGTAACAGTCCACTAATCCCAAGGAACACATTTTCGTTTTGCGTTTGATCCAGTGACAAATGATTACAGATCAGATTTAAGATTTGTTATTCCAAATTCACTTCCTGGTGTTTAGGATTGCTTCAGGGCAACAAACCGTAACATAAACAGCGGTGTAGGCGTTGGTTGTTCTTTGTAAGGATTTTAGCAACTGTTTTAGCAACTGTTTTTACATAAAAGGAGGATAAGCAATTGCATTTCCAGTTTCACATGTCTAAAATGTTCGTTTTTTAATTAGAAAGAAACATACAAAAACAAACAAACAAAAAACCCTTGAGGTTATAAGATCAAAGCAACATAACTTTCAAAGTAGCTGAAAATGTCCTTTATGGTAAACTAAAGTGTTATGTTTAGTTGACAGGCTGGTCATGACTGAGTCCAGGCTACAGAGAGGGGTTGATCTTGTTGCAGATAAGCAGTAGTTCAGTTAAAAAGGTGAAAAAAAAGAAGATACATCAAGTGAAATGCTGTTAAAACAGGAAGCTCCCTCAGACAGGATAGAGTCCCTCCACTCTTCTCTCTACCTCTGCACGAGGGAGGGGCCGTCCAGGTGCCGTTTTCCTGACACCTGCTCCTTCCGACTCCCTCCATGGTGTAGCCGCTGAAACACGAGTACACCGCCACGTCCCCGAACTGGAACACCGCCCCCCGCACCAACCCGTTGGCCACATGGAGTGGGGGGCCACAGGACACCCCTGGACAACAGCCACCAGTTACTCTCTAAAGTATCTTTATATTCTCATCCAAATGATCTGCTGTCGTTCGAAACATACTGAGGAAAATATAGGGTAAAAAAAACGTAAAGTCCTGCAGTAAAGCACACAGATTATGTTCAATATTTGGTATATGTGAGTTTAGTTAACCCCCCTCCATTACATGTAATAACATAAAGCTATTACATAATTGTGCACCAAAGAGTGAAAAACAATTTGTGGTGGTTATACTTTCTGCATCATTACACCTTAGTTCTGTGATTTCCATGCAACATTTCTAGATCCTGTTTTTGGCTCACTTTTATCCTCTTTGACAGATCAGGAAAGAGGCGCACTGACACACGTGCATGTGCGAGAATAAAGGCCATGCAAATTCATTCAACGTCTCATAGCAACACCTGCAACACTGAGCCACTGCAATTAAAAGAAACAACAAAAAAATGAAGCATATCAGACAAAGGTTGGCATAGAGGCATCAGCCAAAAGGAAACAGATGCAATGTTTGATGCAGCACCATTTGTTTTGATTAGAGAAATGATAACAGAGAAATGAAAGACGCTTAAACTAACATGAAGAGGAGAGCCATGCAGAAGGAAGGAGCGGCTGATGCAAGACGAGAAGAGCATGCAGACAGTGGTACATTTATTGTTCACACAACGACTACCATAAATTGTAAACATATCCTGATTTAATAATTAAAAAAAGACAGATATGATCAAACATGAGAAAGAAATTTTTTTTTTCACTGCTGTTAAGGTTTTCATTACAATAATGAAGAAGCAACAGTACTACTGATGCTTCACAGGAAAGATCATAAAAACGGTTCATATGGTTATTTTCAAAGATGACCTTTGAGAACTGTGATTTACAGGTCTCATTATCAAGACCTTTAAGTAACCTACAGAAATCTACATAAAGTGTTGTAGGGCAAAGATCAAGTCAATTTACGAATTACAGACACACAAGGAAGCAGATGACACCGTTTCTAATAATTAGAATTATAAATACAATAAACGCATAAAATATATCATTTCCGGTGAAACATTATTTACTCTCTTTATAAAATCTATTTAAAAGCTAAAAAGAAAATGGCATCCTTGTACTTGTATTAAAACTGCAGCCATGAATGAAAAAATCTTTGCATTTCAGTTTTCCACTAATCTCTTTTTCTATTTCATTAAATTTCAATTATATTTCCCTAAATGAATACAATTCTTTTTAAATATTGTAATAAAATCAAGAATGTAAAGGTGTGACCTACTTTCACAAACTGAACTGAGAGGGGTCCAGGTCTGGTCTGGCTTGCAGGTGATGGCGCCGCCACCTTTTACCCGCTGTCCCTTGGGGCAGGAAACACGGACGGACTGCCCAACATGGAACTCCTGCTGGGATCCTTCATTGTTGGTGCCTTTCGCCCAGCCAGGGGGAGGCGGGCAAGACTTTGCTGTAAGGGGTAAACAGGGGTTCAAAGTGTTTTACTTACAGAAATATTTTCTATTTCACCCACAAGAACAGATTTCTTTAGACATACAGGACTGTCTCAGAAAATTAGAATACTGTGATAAAGTTCTTTATTTTCTGTAATGCAATTAAAAATCATGAAATGTCAACCATTCTGGATTCATTACAAATAAACTGAAATATCGCAAGCCTTTTATTGTTTTAATATAGTTGTTTATGGCGTACAGCTGAAGAAACCCGAATATCCTATCTCAAAATATTAGAATACTGTGAAAAAGTATACTAGTAGGCTATTCAACTAATCGCTTGAATCGTCTAATTAACTCAAAACACCTGCAAGGGTTTCCTAAGCCTTGAAAAACACTCAGCTTGGTTCAGTAAACTAAATCACAAGTATGGGAAAGGGAAGACTGCTGATCTGACTGCTGTCCAGAAGACCATCATTGACACCCTCCATCACAAGGGTAAGACACAAAAAGAAATTTCTCAAAGAGCAGGCTGTTCAAAGAGTGCATTTTCAAAGCACATTCACAAAAAGTGTGTTGGAAGGGGGAAATGTGGCAGGAAACGCTGCACAACCAAAAGAGGTGACTGCAGCCTTAACAGCATTGTAAAGAAGAGCCGCTTCCAGAATTTGGGGGAGCTTCAAAGACAGTGGACTGAAGCTGGAGTCCAGGTATCAAAAGCCACTGTTCACAGAAATGTCCGGGAAATGGGCTACAATAGCCGTATTCCCATGGTCAAGCCACTTCTGAACTCAAGACAACGGAAGAAGCGTCTGACTTGGGCTATGGAAAAGAAGCACTGGACAGTTGCAGAGTGGTCCAAAGTCCTCTTTTCAGACGAAAGCAAGTTTTGTTTGTCATTTGGTAGTCAAGGCGCCAGAGCCTGGAGAAAGGATTCCCAACCAAGTACTGAGTGCATTAATGGACATTTTCAAATGTTTGATTTTGTTTTGCTGTTATAATTTTTTTTAACTTGGTCTGAGGAAATATTCTAATATTTTGAGATAGGATTTTTGAGTTTTCTTCAGCTGTACGCCATAATCAGCTACATTAAAACAATAAAAGGCTTGCGATATTTCAGTTGATTTGTAATGAATCCAGAATGTATGACATTTCATGATTTTTAATTGCATTACAGAAAATAAAGAACTTTATCACAATATTCTAATTTTCTGAGACAGTCCTGTATATAATAAAATATGGTGTTATGTTTAACAATGTATGGATACGTCACTATCAATTCAGAATCTAGCTCTAAAAACTTTTTTTAAGCTGCTAACAATTCATATTAATTCTACAACCAAAATGTGCATAAACACAAAATAAAAAACTTGAATTGTTTACTAATAAAAACATAATTGATGAATACATAAAAATATGTTGTCATGGACACAATGGAACTCAAAATCCCTGTTTATTTGCGATCATCAGAGGCTAGTGTGAGAGCAGTTTTTCCTTTATTGTGAGACAATGGCCCTGTCTGAACCACTATATAGGGTGTCCAAACATCTAGTGGATGAAAATGTAGTGGACTAGACATTTCCCACAAAGCACCTTAAAAGTAGTGATCATCCATGGAAAAGCATCATCAGATTTGCTGTCACAGAGGCCCGCTGTCGCTATAGGCTGTCGCTATAGGCTGTCGCTACCCATCAGCAGCAGCGACAAATAACAAAAATGGCGCAGGCACCTTATGGGGAGGCGGAGTCACGTCACCAATGGGGAGCGAAAAGTAGTAATAATCTGTATGAACGGTCAGTTAACTGAGTTCACCATAAAGTCCACTATATAGTCCCCGCTCTATATAGTGATTGAGAGATCTAGGGGTTATGGCGGACGTTCTGACACAGCCAATAGGACTGAAAGCTGTCTGTTAGCTGGCCTTATCTCGGTTCTAATATTTTCCCACTTTGTGTCTGTTGAAATAATTTTTTGTCAAAATCATTTTGACCTTGTATTGAATAACTGTTTGAACTCAACGTGATGCTGAAAACATAAAATCCGTCACCATGTAAGAGTCTGGATTAGATTAAAGCTAACTAATTAAGAATAGTTAAAAATCATATAAATCTTGACTACAGGTTAAAATAATGCCCACATCATGATGCATTCACCACCATGCTCCACTGTATTATGGTTCTGTTTATGGGAATGTGGCCCAAAAGTTTAAGTTTTGCTTCATCAAACCAGAGGAACCCCTCCGCCCCACCAAGTCTTTAGGGGGAATGAAGCAGATATGGATGTTTTCTTAAAAGGGAGGAAAGGCCTGCTTCTTGTAACCCTACCGCTGGATCCAGACATCTGAAGAGGTCCAGTTTTCTTCTACCTTGGTATATCCGAAGCAAAACCTACACAAAGTCCTGTGACTGATGGCCTTTCCTTTGGTTTTCCTTAGCTATATGAGGCTATAATCTGGGCTATTGTTGATGGAACTAAGTAGCACAGTTGTGTCTGATGTAATGATTGTTTTCTCCCTCTTTAAGCAGAGCATTGAGCTGTGGAGAGCTGCTTCAGTGGAAATGTGAGTTGGGTAAGATGTATGTCAAAAACAGAGCTAATAATTTCAGGTTTAGTGACCCAGACATTTCTTAAATTAAAAGTATTTACCCTTAACTTGAGTAGATAAGTAAGATGATTTGCCGATGGAATGAGGATTTCTGCTCTTAAAATAAGATAATTAGATAATATACACTTGAAATTAGACAATGCAATTGTTTTTTCTTATTTTAAATGTAAATTGTCTTATTCCATTGGCAACGTTTCACACCTAACTTGTCAATTCAAGAAAAAATTTGCTTATTTTAAGAAAAATTACTTATTGAGATTTCAATTTTTTCCGTTGTAATGGCTTATGTTCAGCTATTCTATCTCAACTACTTATTGTCCTGCATGTTAAAGTCATCACTATGGAGTGACTTGGTGTGTTCTACTGCTGCTGTAGATTGAAGACTACCTTCATGTGTCAGTTTTTTCCCCCAAAGTATGTAAAAAAACACCTGGGATTAATATTTTGTGAAAAATATGTTTACTGTTGTGTAAGAAGAAATATTTCCCACCTTGGCAGATGGGGAAGGTTGAACTCCAAGTGTTTCCGCCCATGCACATCACCAGACCATCTCCAACCAGGTTGTAGCCTTGATCACACTGGAACTCTAAAGCATGTCTAGAGCCCAGATTGTGCTCCTGGATTCTACCATGTAACAGCTGTTTGGGACTATCACAGCTTCTGACCTCTGAATATAATAAACAGAACTATTAATTAAAAATGAAAATGCATGGTGATTATTTTGATAATAAGCTCCCTTTAAAACATTTAAGTCAAATACCATGCCCCCACTGCCTACCTTCACATGTAGGTGGCGGCATACTCCATGAGCCGTTGACCAGACAGGTGAGAGTTTTTGGTCCAATAAGTTGAAGCCCAGCCTTACAAACGTAGGTGACATTGTTCGCATGCCTTTCGTCTTTTGGGAGAATCTGAGCATTCTTTACAATGGGTGGAGGCCCACAGGAGGCTGCTGATGCTGCAGACAGATAAAAACACCTTTCAAAGAGCAGGGCTGGGTTCTAATCCAGTAGCACAGCTCAGCGCTAAGAGATCATTGAGAAGAGAACAGTTGAAACTAAACTCAGGCCATACATTTTGATAAGAAAATTATTTGAACCACAAAATTAAAGATTGTTCAAAAGAAACAATACAGTGCACGCTTCACAGCAGACGCAGCATTAATCCACCTATTGATCTCGAGCTCCATCTTCCCTTCATTCGTGAACAAGACTCCAAGATACTTAAACTCCTCCACTAGGGGCAGTACATCCTCCCCAACCCGCAGAAGGCACTCTACCCTTTTCCGGCTCAAGACCATGGTCTCGGATTTGAAGGCACTGATCCTCATCCTGGACGCTTCACACTTGGCAGTGAACCGCTCCAGTGAGAGCTGTAGATCACGCCCTGATGAAGCCAATAGAACCACATCATCTGCGAATAACAGAGATGCGATCCTAAGGCCACCAAAACAGATCCCCTCAAAACCTTGGCTGCGCCTACAAATTCTGTCCATAAAAGTTATGAACAGAATCGGTGACAAGGGGAAACCCTCACCGGAAACAAGTCCGAATTACTGCTGGCAATGCAGACCAGGCTCTGACACCGGTCGAACAGAGACCTAACAGCCCTTATTAAAGGGCCCAGTACTCCATATTCCCAGGGTACCCCCAACAGGACCCCCGAGGGACACGGTCGAATGCCTTCTCCAGACCCACAAAACCCATGTAGACTGGTTGGGCATACTTCCATGCAACCTCGAGGATCCTGCTGAGGGTGTAGAGCTGATCCAGTATTCCACAGCCAGGATGAAAACCACACTGCTCCTCCCGAATCCGAGATTCGACTATCCAATGGACCCTCCTTTCCAGAACCCCGGAATAGACCTTCCAATGGAGTGTGATTCCTCTGTAGTTGGAACACACCCTCCGGTCGTCTTTTTTAAATAGAGGGACCCTCACCCCAGTCTGCCAATCCAGGGGAACTGCCCCTGATGTCCACGCAATGTTGCAGAGTCGCGTTAACCAAAACAGCCCCACAACATCCAGAGCCTTAAGGAACTCAGGGCGAATCCCTTCCACCCCAGGGGCATTGCCTCAGACGACATTTTTAACCACCTCAGCATCAGAGATTTCATTTTGACATATTTATCACAATTTTAAAATTTTCTTTTGCAAAACTTTGTTGCAGAAATCAATATTAGCATTATTAGTATATTAGCATTGGAAATCATATCAATTGGCTCCAGATCTGCTGACTTCATTTGATTTGTTCACAATTTTGTAGCTGCACGCAAACAATCTCATCCCTTGTGCTTAAATTCTAGCTCACTTTAACTTTCATTTAGTTTTTTTTTCAAGTAATGTATAATTTAAGGTAAGTGTTAATATTCCTTAAAAAAGTTGCAACAAACTAAACCCATTTTTATTAGGAACCTCATCACCAACTAGAACAGTTGACTCTTACAAAATATGATAAAAAACAACTCTAGATAACCTCTCCATGAGTGGTGAGTTTTATTGGAGAATTGCAACAACCTTTGCTTATGGATATGTGTGGAATAAAAAGAAAAATGGAAAAAAAAAATCTATACATATAAATTGGCAGAAGACTTAAAACTGTGAGGACATTAAAATGTTAGAGGGTGGCCACCTTTTTATACATCTGTCCTTTATTTGCATAACTTACCAACACAAACTGGCTGAGTCCCACTCCATGTTCCATCCCCCTGGCAGGTCTGGACAGTGTCTCCCTGAGATAAAACATGGTGATATTAACAGAGTAAGATGTAGGGAAAGAAATCTCCACAGCAGGTAAAGTCAGGATAGAATAAAATGCTTTAAATCCACAACTTCACTCTTTACTACTCTGTAAGCAAAAAAAAAAAGAAATTTCATTTTTACTCTACAAAGTGCTAAGTGTTGTTAAAGATAAAACCCCACAGATCAATAGATATCTATTTCTTGCACTTATCCAGTTCCAGTCCCCAACCCCACGGTGCGGCTTCATGAGAAAAGCAAATAAACAAACAGAGCTAGTTTTACTTTCTGCTGAACTAAAACAAGAACAATAAAACTTCTTATTTAGATAAGATGGTAATGGATCAGATGGCCAGGATTAACACTATCACTAACACAAAACTGTGTTTTTAGAACACAGACTATTACTGCATATTTGCAGTGTATATATTAATGCTCTGAACTTCCATATCAATGCGTTTTTGGCAACATGTTTTTTCTCCCACATTGTTTACATTTGATCACTGCCACACTTCAGGAGATGGAAATGTTCATTTACTGTCTGAAAGCTGTGCTAAATTAAATTTTGTTTTGTATACACAAAGTGTATACAAAATGACAATAAAAGTTGTCTAAGTCTAAACATAGATGATATTAAAACATGTATCATCTGATCAATAGTTTATCATGTTTTACATGCCGCTGCACAAACATTGCAATGTCTACCTCTACCTCTCCTGTAGACAGAAATGAATAATGTAACAATGGAAAGCTTAAACATTTACTGGTTGAGATGGTTTTTTTGACCTGATATACATTTTTTTATTGCAGAAGTAAAGAAGCACCTCTGATATGGTTTAGGAAAACCCACCCAAAAAGTGATCATGGTGATTATTAAATACTCTGTCTTGTATCTCTGTATGAGGGAAGTGACTCAGCTCTTTCTGCTTGCTTTTTATCCAACCAGTCTCATTGACTGCTGAGGCCCGATCATGTGACTACTGTAATCTGAATTCCAGTAACCTGACTGTGCAGCCTCTTAATGGCCTGAGGCCGCTGCTGGACATGTATACTCCATTTCACAGTAATAGCTTAAAGCCTGCAGTGATTTGTGTCAAACTTCTCATTTTAAAACAGAAAATGTGTTTTTCTCTGTTCTATTCTGGATTAGGTGATAATCTGCAATTGCATTTTTTTTTTTTTATATTTAGCAAAATGATACCTCCTTAAGAAGAAATTATGCTCTCTAAAACAGACATAGGCTTTTGTCTCTCCCTTTTTTCCACTTTTCAAAAAAATAAAACTCAATAAGCACCTTTAAATCAAAGCCAGGCAGGCAGGAATACAGGACAAAATCTCCATAGTTGTAGCTGTCACCTTCCATGATACCGTGAAGAAGAAGAGAAGGTTTCTCACACACGACCATCTCACAGGAAACTGTGTTGATGCTCGGAGACCATGTTCCTCCCATCTAACCGCAAAAAACAACAAAAAACACAAAGGACAAATTCCTAAAATATCAAATGCGCACCCATAATAGCAATTTAAAAAATATTCAAACACTTTTAGTATGTACATATAATGAGATGTTAGAGGAGTTCAGCAGAGCAACAATCCTCATTCCTACCTGACACTCTGCTAACGCTGACCCCTGCAGGTAGAAGCCAGGAGGACACGACAGGGTGATAGTTCCCCCAACAGGAGTGAGCTCCCTGCTGCTTATTTGCAGATGTGGGATAGAAATATTGGAGGGCGGCAAGCAGGGAGCGGGACGGCACTCGAGGCTGTGTTTGGACCAGGTGCCGTCACTCTGACATGACAGGGAGGCTCCCCTTGTTGAAAGTTCATATCCATCCTCACATCTGGAGGGCAGGAAATGTGTAATATTTTAATGCTATTTCAGGTAGGTTATATGGTTACCTTCTAAAAGAGAAAGAAAACATCTAGCAAAAAAATAAAAAACAAGGCATAATGTAGGATTCGTGAAAATTATTACAGGTTTAACCATTATTTGGGGTGAAAAACTTATTTAGCATTTTAACAAAAAAGAGATGGAGCATAATAGCAAATTAAGATGCAGCTCTTAAACTCAGTGTAGAGAATTGATGAAATTTATTTGCCGTTGGCAAGAAGAACATAATCTTGTTCTTATCTGGCCATGTTATGGGTATGCCCAAGTCTGCTTTGGAGTAAATGCTGCTGGATATTTGTGGTACTATTAACTGTGGTTAATAGAAGATGAATTATTTGTGTTATTGTTACAATTTTTACAAATATTTAAATCATTTTATTTGTCGCCATCAACACAATCGACTAGTGAACTAAATTGTGCCATTCTTATATTAAAGGGAAGGGTTGCATAGGCCCCCAGGACAAATTTTGGACACCCTTGCTCAAAGGAATGAAACACTTATGTTGATTAAACTTTTTTAATCTGTGACTTTAAAATCCAATTGGAGGAAGGGGCTTTCACTCCATTGAATTAATAATCTACTGCCATGTTTCCTGTTACTATAGTCTCTAGACACTACCTTATAAGGCAGACTTAACTTTGACTAGAAACATTGTGAAGATGAATAAAGCAACGTTCAACTAAAACGTTAGAAGTATGATGAGTATTTACCTGTATGTGACCTGGTTGGGGAAGGTGTAGGCGTCTCCCACCACGTGACCGTGGGCTACCACAGGTGGTTTTCCGCAGTTCACAGGCTCGCAGCGAATTCTGGGTTCCCCCCATCTTCCATCACTTCCACAGGAGAGGAGTGGGTACCCTTTCAGCAGGTAGCCGATACGACACTTGTATGAGAGTTTTTCTGGGAAGCTAGCTATGCCACCAAGTAGTACTGCATTGGGGACCACAGGTGGGGCAGCGCTGCACCTTCCCCTGCCACACATTGGCACCCCGGGACTCCACACTCCTCCTTTATCGCATACTGCCTGAGAGGGACCCAGTAGTTTGTAGCCCCGATCACAACTGAACTGCACTCGGTCTCCACAGGCTCGACCAGAGCCCATGACCACCCCAAACCGAACTTCAGGTTGGGAACAGGCACAAGGTTGGCATCGAGGTACAGAGCCCACCCAGACTCCCTGAGCTGAGCATCTCAGGATGGGATCACCTACCGCCTCATATCCTTCGAAACAAATGTACTCTACCACATCATTATAGTTGAACCCTGAACCATTCACAAAGCCGTGACTGATGTCTTCAGGTGGGTCGCAGCTAATGATATCACAGCGGGGTGGGGGTTTGTCCCACAGTCCATCTGACTCACAAACAAGGGTCGGCTCTCCAGTAAGCTTGTAACCTTCATCACATTCATACTTAACTTTGCTGTTGTAACCAAATTCTGAGCCTATCACATGGCCATGGGGTATAGAGGAAGGCCTCCCACAACGAGCTGGTACACAAGAAGGATGGCCATGACTCCAGCTGCCATCAGCCTGGCAAACACTTCTAGATTTACCATTTAAGATGAAACCAGGTTGACATCTCAGTTCAATTTGTTTATTATAGGTGTACTCTTTTCCTTCAACTGTGATGTCACTAGGTACCGTTGGGGGACCGCAGGACACTAGCTCACAGCGTGGCTTTTGCCCGTTCCACTTTCCGTCTGCTTGGCAGGCGATGGTGTCCGTTCCCTTTAGGACAAATCCTGGATGGCACTCAAAGTGCAAAACTTCAGGGTAAACAAAATCCCTCCCATGTATTGTACAATTAGCAACAGCACCAGGATCGCCACAGGTTACAGGTCGGCAAACCGGGGCCTCAAAGGGGGTCCAAAGTTGACCTGATACACAGTGTCTTTCAGGCTCTCCCACCAGCTCATACCCTTCCTCACAAGAATAACTGACGGCACTGCCAACAGGAGCCTCAATGCTGTTTAAGAAGCCATGCTCTGGTTTGGGCGGTGTTTCACATTCTGCTGGGATGCAAGATGGGGCTGTCCCATTCCAGTCCCCATCCTCCTTACACAGCAGCCTTGTGTGGCTACTAATGTTGTAACCTGGATGACAGTGGTACTCGATCATCGTCCCATAAAGGAAGTTCAAGCCTGAAGGGGAGGCTGATATTGTGTCTTCAGAAGTACCGTCCAACTTTGTCACCCTGACATAGTCTCCAAAGTCAATGTGAGGAGGCAGTCCACAGTCTGAAGGTACACACATAGGAACAGCACTAGACCAGCCAGATTCCTCACAGGTTATATGATCCTGCCCGACAAGCTGGAACCCTGGGAAACAGCTGTAGAAAATAGTGACTCCAAAACTTTGATCCTGACCCTCCACAAAACCATTTTCGATTGGTTGGGGCAGAGTGCATGATATCTGCATACAGACAGGGGGCTCTGAGTCCCATTCCCCATCAGCCATGCAATTCAGGGTACCTGGGCCTTGGAGCCTGAAACCACGGTGACAAGAGTAGGTTGCGCTATGTCCATACTGGAGTTTTGTGTATACCACCTTCCCATTGGCTATTTGTTTCGGGATGGAGCATTCTACTGGGCGACAAGAAGGTATTCCACCGATCCAAACCCCTCTCTCTCCACATAGGAGTGTAGAGTTTCCCACTAAATTATATCCAGTCTTACAGCTATATAGGGCTTTACTGAGGTACGTTAGTCCATGGACGTCAACAATTCCACTGGAAATATCCACAGGCTGAGGACATTCCACTGCGATGCATTCTGGGTAGGGAGTACTCCACCGGGAGTTGGAAAGACAAGACACAGAGTCTCCTTTCTTGAATGTAAAGCCTCCAATGCATGTGTATGTGACCACTGAACCAAAAGGGAATTGAGGAAAGTAATTGGATGGAGCACCAAAAGACACCTCAGGAGGAGGTCCACAAAACACCTCCTTACACACTGGAAATGTGTCGTTCCACTTTAGAGATGGAGTACACTGAAGCACGTTAGCCCCCTCCAGTACAAACCCATTTTCACAGGATAGCTCTACAATTCCATATTCAGAGTCCAGGTTCTTCAAGACCAGGTGGCTCTCCTCTAGAGATGGTTCTGGACACTTGACTGGAGAGCAGCGTGGAGCACTGGGCTGATCCCACTCTCCGTTCTTGAGGCAGGTCCAAACAGCATTCCCTCCAAGTTCGTAACCCTCATCGCAAAAATATTCTACTTTGCTGCCCACACGAAAGGCTGAACCCTTGTAGTATCCATGGACAACATCAGGAGGGGGGTCGCAGGTTAAAAGGACGCAGGTTGGAGGGTCGTTGTTGGACCATTGTCGGTTGGCTTGACAAATTCGCTCTCGCCCTCCAACCAGTTTGTAGCCTGCATTACAGGCATATCTCACTCTGTTATTAAAAGTGTATCGAGGTCGGACCTAAAAGAAAAAAAAACCATTTATAGCCTTTTTCTGTAAAATAAAAAAGAGCATGTATTCTGTTTCCTTTTTTTTTTTTACTAACCTGGATGTATCCATTTTGTGGTACAGGCGGGGAGGGACAGATCACAGGAACACAAGTAGGTAGAACTCCTCCCCACTCTCCATTAGCCTTACAAATCCTCTTTTTCCCCCCCTGAATCATGTACCCTGTCTCACAGCTGTAAGCCACCACTGCTCCAAAACTGTAGTTACTTCCTCTGACATACCCTCGATCGATACTTTCAGGTTTGGAGCATCTCACAGGCACACAGCCAATCTCAAATGGCGAAGGCTCCCACGTCCCCCCTAACAAGCATCGGAGCGTGGCGGTGGTGTTTAGCATGAAACCTTCTTCACATTTATAGCTCACTTCAGTGTTGCTAGCATATTTGGGCTTGTTGACTGAATCTAAAATAGCATGGGGAAACTCAGGCGGGCGTAGGCAAAAGTTTGCGATGCAGCGAGGGACTTCCATGCCATCAGGGGGCACCCACACACCCTGAGCACTGCACACCATCTTTGAGTTGTTGCTAGCAGTGTATCCGTCAGTGCAGTAGTAGCTAGCTGTGTCTCCAAACAGCATGTGGGTTTCATGGGGCACAGCGTGGTCGATAGCAGGGGGTGGTCCGCAAGAGCGAGGGACGCACTGCAGAAAGCCGTCACTCCACTGACCCGAGGGTAGGCACTCCCTGGTTCCTGGGCCAATCAACGTGTACCTACAAACCACAAAAGAAGGCAAAGTAGGGACTTTATTTCTATAAGAGAACCTTGCAGAACAAAATATTTACACCACTCAGAATCTCTCCCATAAATTTACAAGCATTTACCTCAATGTTTCTACAAGTATAGTGTTTCATGTAGTATTTGTTATATAGAAAATTATTTTTATTTTCTTTTAAAATTTTTGGGTTGTATAGCCCTCCCTGGGTCAGCATTTTGTTAGCAACCTTTAGAGTTGCAAATATTTTGGGGTTGGTGTCCTACAGCTGCGAACATCAAACGTCTGCAATTTTGTATGTCAAACAGCTCAAATACAAATAAATTTAGAGGAGTGTCTAAAATCACTGATTTGCACTCAGACTAAAATCATTTAATGTTTTTTTTTTTTCTATTTTTTCCCAAACTCTCAATTTAATTTATATATAGTCTTTGAGTGTGATATTCTAAAAAAAAATAGTATAAACTTCGATTTAATCTACAGTGTAGATCAAATCATTTGAGAGTCTGCATTCCACTGTATCTCTGGTTAGATGCTTAGCGCTGTAGTCTTGCCAGAAGGTGAACCTCCAACCACATCTTAAGTCTTTTGCAGGCTCTACGCGATTTTCTTTAAGCATTGATCTTGAATTAGCCCTATCCATTTTCTACTTTTCTGTAACCATAACAGTCAAAATGGCGGATGCAACAGAACAATATTTCAATCATACCCTTTATTATGCCCTAAATTAACCTAATATGTTGTTAAAATCTAGGGCTTACTTTGAAAAATAATACAAAATACAAACATTTTCCGGAGCAACATATATATATATATATATATATATATATATATATATATATATATATGTATGTATATATTATTTAGATTCATAAAATATTTTGAAAACATATTTTCCATCGACCTACAATGATCTATTTTATGTTGATCTATGATATGAATTCCTGATGAAACCCAATGAGGTCTGGTTTTTACCATGTCAGAGTATTAAGAAACATAAGAGATCCAAATATTAGAAGTCACTATATGTATGGTATAGATGTGACATTGGACAGTTTATGCACTCCTTGTTTCTTGACCAGGAACATTTAACCTTTGAATGTTTGAATTTGAGCTAACTGATTGACATTTACCCTTCTTTGCAGATGTAGTGAACTTTGTTTCCCACTTCATAGTTTTCTCCATCAATCACTGCATCTTTAAGCGCCGGGGGCTCACTGCAAAGGATGCTGACACATTGAGGGATGGGTCGGCTCCACTCGCCTGTCGCTTCACAAACCACCTCCATGGAGCCCTGTGGTCTTTGCAACAACATAGTTCTGAGTATAGATGTTTGTTTTCACAGATGCACAAATTATATATCTGTTTTTTTTGCTCCAAAAAAAAGTATATACAGTATGCGTAATTCACCCATACCTGTATCCCTCAACACATGTGTATTGAACAGTAGAGAGGTAGGTGGTTGTTTCAAGGATGTAGTTTGCATGCTCCACGAATGGAGGCCCCCCGCAGGTCACTGGGTAACAGACAGGCGGCGTCCCGCTCCATCTCAGAGTGGAGAGACACTGGAACTCATAAGGGATCTGAGGCAGGAAGCCCTTTTTACAGCTGAGAGGGGAAAATGACATATTTTTTATTTATATTATACAAATGAAACTCACTTTTGACAGAATGATACCCGGTTAGATGCGAATGGTACCTGAAAGTCACCTTGCTTCCAAAGGTAAAGTTGTTTCCAGTCATAACAGAGTTTTCCGGAACAGTTGGAGTCGGGCAAGATAGAGCTACAGAGGAAGAATGGAACATTATTAAAACCTGCTGCTTTTATTAAACAGAAAGCAAAGTTTAATGTAGCAGTGAAGCAACTTTTATGTTAAGATAAACAAGCCTCTCCTTGCACCGTAAATGTTTCATTAGACTTGCTTTCTTCAAGACGTCTCCTGCTATTTATGCACCGCAACATTTTAAACTTACAGTAAGAAGCATAAAGAGCAGAGCTGCTGTAGCTTACAGTAGGGTGGAGCTTAGAGGCTAAACAACATTTTTTTTTTTTGCAAAAGGTGATATAAACAGAGGTTAATACAAGTCCAAGATGTTAAGTCAAACAGAGACCTTTTCTTCAGAGTTTTTGTTGATGTTATTGTTCTTAAAAATTAAAGTAATGACTGCATATCGAAACGTTTTTGCACATGTAATGTGAAGCAGTCAAAAAATGTCCTTAATGAACAAGGTTGGTGTTTAATGCCAAGATAGAGGCAGTGTAGTGTCATGGCAGAAGGACGAAAACAAAGCTGCTTCTGCAATCATGATGCAGGAAATTCAAATAATCCAGACAGAAAAGGAAGACCTCTGTGCATCTTTCACTCTTTATCTGTACCATCTTCCTTTGTATAATACATTTATTAAACATCTCACTTTTCCCAAATTTTTCACATAATTTCCCTCCAAATCATAGCTGGAAAACAGGGTGTTCATTGTTACATATCACACTAGCTGAAAGATAATTTTACCTCTTAAACAACAGTTAATAAATGAAATACATATAAGTCTATGAACCAATGTGTGTGATTGAGTCTGTAACTGTAAATCTGAAAGCTTTATAACAGAGAGGGGCAATACAACAATTTAAGTGCCTCACATTTACAGGCATCATGAAAATATCCTAAATCTTTTGAAAGGTGACATTTTTGTGGTTTCCTGGTGACAAAACTCTAGTTTAATCCCTGCTGATATATTTCAAAAGAAACCTTTAAGCACGGTAAACCCACCTTATGTGAGTCAGTGGAGAAAAGCAAAGTTCATGCCCCGCATAAACATTAAATTATAGGCTGTTTAGATCATGTTAGGGTTTCATTACAGCGTATTTCCCTTTGGTCCAACAATTTAATTCAGATATAGTTGGGGCTCTCATTTAAAGTCTGAGCAAATCCTTTGACAAGAAGAAAAAGCTGCATACTTGTATTTAATTTAATTTCTTCTCTAATTATTCACAGGTGTCCCATTATTAGGGACCTCAATAAACAGTTTTGTTTCCAAAGCAGATCAGTACAGACAATGCTGAGGGGGCACCTACTGACATTTAATTAAAAAATAACTCTAAAAATTGAAGTGAAATCATTTGTGTTATTTCAAATGATTTCACTTCAATTTTTAGAGTTATTTTTTAAAAGCCCATCTAGGGACAAGTGCTGCGAATTAGCTGTTGCTATTGCACCATGATACAAACATGGGAATGCTGATTCATTCAGTTTGTCTATGTAAATGTGTGTCTGTCCCTATCAAATAAACTTTAATAATCTCGAGGAAGAACACCCCCCCCCCAAAACAAAATACATATTTGCATTTAGTTTGATAGGCCTTCTAGTCATCACCCTAATCATTAACTCCCGCCACAGACTTTAGTGCAAAATGACTTCCACTCACATTGATATATCTAAGGGATACCTGCTGCTCTTGAAGCTTTTTTTTTGTTTACTTTGGTTGTCTGTTGTCTATTTTTTGCTGTTGTCATGTTCTCTGATTTCTTTCCATCTCGTCACAAGTAAATTTCTCCACTGTGAGATCAGTAAAGTCAATCAATCAATCAATCTATCATACAGGTGTGGAAGCAGACTTCTAGGAGTTACTGTATATCTTGTTTTGTTTTATTTTCTCTCTTTTCATGCACTCTTTCTTGTCTCTATCTTTCACCTCTTTCTCTCTCCCCTCCCTCTCCGTCTCCGTTGTATATGATTTTTCACCCTAAATCATTTTCAATAAAGTTTCATATTCAATCATGAAGCAGAACCTTATGGCAACAGTGCCATCAGGTGCCATAAGATTTGCATTTACTGCCCTCATCTAGCTCTGAGACATCTATTCCCAGAGCTATATTGGCAAAACAGGACAGAAAAAAGTCCAAACTATAACTGGGATACTCCAATGCATTAATATTACTTCCAGTTTCAAGACACATGTTAGCAAAATTAAATGAAACCCCACTCTCTTAGACATATGAAGGATTTTAGGCTTCATTGAAGAAATGTTAGTCTTGTGAAGTGAAAAATAGAAGAAATGTTTGAAAGGCTGAGCTCTCACCTCTGCAGTAAGGAACAGGATTGTCCCACGTTCCTGAATCCAGGCAGTGGATTTGCGAAGAGCCAATCAGCTCATAGCCGTTATCGCAGTAATACGCCACTGCACTGCCCATCAGAAAGCTGCTGCTATCTCTGTAACCGAACTCTGGAGAGCCAGGGTTCTGGCACTTAACTGGCTCTGTAAACACATCATCGTTGTGCTCATTTGGAGAAGAATCACTTAAGAAGTCACAGAGTAACATGTGAAAAGTGCTGTAGAGCTTTATTTAGTCGTGAATGTTTTAAATATTCCACCATAAGGAATGATTCCAGGCTGTTAGAGTATGTTTTTGTACAATAACTCATCTCTCAATTCAAAAGCAGAGAGCTGTGGCTCCTTGTTACCTGTGCAGTTTTTGCCGTCTCCAGTGTACGGATGAATGCATGTGCAGGTGTACGAGCCGTCCGTGTTCTGGCATCTGGCATGAGCGTCACAGTCAGATCCCAGAGCACACTCATCCACATCTGAACACAAAGAAAGAAAGAAAGGCAGGCTGCAGCTGCTATTTTGGTTGTTTTTTTCTCAGTTTCATTGCCAGCATTAGCTTAAACATTGAATCTTTACCCAGACAGGCCGGTGGATGACCTCCCCACTTGCCGCTGTTGCTGCAGTGCACCTTGGCGTCTCCCAGCAGGTAAAAGCCATCATTGCACTGATAGACCACAGAGCTTCCAGTATGGAAATCTGAACCCTGGTAGAAGCCATGCTCCAGAGGACGAGGAGGTCCACAGGATACCTCTAGGTGATGCACGGAGAGGGAAATAAACAGAAACATTGCATAAGTTCAACTTTCACCTAAATTAATTGGTCATTAGAATCATTATTATCATTTTAAAAAGTAGTTGAAGGCAGTGGTGGAAAGTAACTAATTACATTTACGTGATTACTGAACTGAACACTTTTGTTGAGTACCTTTACTTTATTTGAGTCATTTTTTGGAGGGCGTACTTATAACTTTCACTTCACTACATTTGAATGTAAAATATTTTATTTTCTAGTCCACTATATTTCTAGGAAGCTGCCAGTTACTTGTTCCTTTTGTTTTCAAGTAATAATCAAAATAGCTGTCCTTATTTTTTGGCCCATTTTTTATGCATGAGTTCTTTACAAATGATGTAAAATTTGTTGCAGTGTGGTTCTATGCAGTAATGCATCAGGTGGTTTCTGAAAGTTACAAGGCTTTTTAAAATGACTCTACAGATATACAATTTTATTAGTATTTTTGAATACTTAAATACTTTTAAATGCATGTACTTTTGAATACTTAAGTATTTTCAAAGGTAAGTACCTCATTACTTTAACTTGAGTAGATGTTTGACTTGTAACTTTTATTGTAGTTGAGATTTGACTGAGTATCAATACTTTTACCCAAGTAGGCCTACTACTGTTGAGTATTTGAGCGTCAATCTGTCTTACTTCAATAGGATGTTCTCTTGTGTTTCCAATTTTGAAGAGTGTCTGAAAGCCACGAATCTCTTTTTTATGTTATACTAAGTTTTATTAGAGAGACAAATAAAATCATTAGCAACTGTGATAGTTTTTTTGTTTAAAAAGTTAGACATTGATTATACCGCTGCCGTTACTTGAAATGTAACGCAGCGCGGTGCTCCAACTTTATCAACCAAAGCTACATTTCATGAGTGCTCTCTCTCTCTGCAGCAGGGAGAGAATTTTCCTGCTTATTATGTGCGAGAATAAAGACATTATGTACTTGAGTTAGAAGCTCCTCACATCATCTTAACACTGCCAGCTGGCGTCCCACATGTTCTTCTTCACTTGATGCTTTATTTGCTGTTTTTCAAGAAGACTTTAACATCTGTTTAATTCTATTGGAAACTATATTTTACTTAAAATACTATATTTTACTTACGTAAAGTTGCATAACGATGTAATGGTGCCAAAAATTTATCTTAAACCTACCTAATGCTAGTTTGACTGACCGGACCTTATTTATACCCCAACACATGGCAGATTTCAGCATGATGGTGAGCCTTTTAAACACGACACCAATAGCAAAGCAGACAGTGGTACTTTTAATTACTATGTTAATAACTGTATAGTTTGTTAGATGGTTGGTAAAAAATACACTCATATAATATGTTTCAAACCGCAATAAAGATCTTAAAAGAACAATGTATTTGAGTATTTTATTTTTTACACTACGACTTGGAATTATGGGTAATCCAGAGCGTAGATTAAAACCATAACCGTTTAGACAATTTGTTAGCAACGATGGATACCAAAAAGAGGTACAATGATGAAATGATGAAGTGTGTATGTATGGGGCACATTTCGGGTTGGTTGTCTGCGGCGGCAGGGTGGTTGGGGCGGGGGGACGTCACCGGAGTGAGGGGTTTTCGATGGGTGTTGTACTTCATTTGGGGCACACCCAGATAATGTTGCTTGTTGTTGATTATGTTGCTATTGTTGTGTCGTTACGCCATTGTAGCAGCCATTAGGAAACCTAAACCTGAGTTGTGGACCTTAGGCTAGAGCAATTTAGAGTTGCCGATTTTAATTTGTTTGTTAAACCAGACTGTAATGCTTAGGATCCCTGATTGATACTTACATATATTGTATGCATTGTATGTATAAATGTCCCAACAGTGTCTAATCTAATGTGTTTTGTTTATTCAGTTTTTTTTAAGTTAAAAAAAGAACAATTTATAAGTATGATGTCAAAAACTTTAATTTGAGATTATGTGAACAAATGTACCGGTACTTTAGGATCCAAAGCCATTTCAGGTGTAACATCACCACTATAGGGAGCCAGAAGTAGAGGCATTTAGTTTCAGGGCTTACTTTCACAGCTTGGAAGAGGGTGGCTCCACTCTCCTTTGTTCTGACACTGCAGCACTGGCTCCCCCACCAGGTAAAATCCAGGATCGCAGGAAAGGTGCACCTGAGCACCAGGGCTCACCTCTACACTGGAGGCATGCAGATGGGGCATAGCGCTCTCCAACCTGGGACAATCTGGATAAACAAAAAACATTAATATGAAACTTTCAAAAAGTAAACAAAACTTTTAAGCAGGTGTTGAATCTCTCTTACCAGCACAGAAAATGCTATTGAGGTTAACTTTGACTCGGCCTGCAACCCCATTAAGAAAATCAGGCCAAGCCAGGACATTTCCTCTATGGGTCACATGGGAAGCCGGACAGCTGCTGGCCAGAACCTTAATCTGTTTATTAACATAAAATATGGATATCATTGGAGATAATTCAAAGATATAAAACATGCACCTTTGTACTTGAGTCAATTTGCCTAAGTATAATCTAATTTTTGACAATGTTAACTCCAAGCACTGACCAACTAACAATGATAATGGAATCAGTGGTGTTAACTTGGACAGAGAAAAAAGATATCAACCTGTTGTGGAGTCAGGACACGATCCCAGATGTTGAGCTGACTGATGGATCCAACAAAAGACTCAACAGGGTTGAAGCCCTCGCCTCTCTGATCCTGATCCTGACCTAAAACCAGAACCCCTCCACCTGCAGAACAATTTTAGCACCAAGGTTAATGACTTCACAAACACCTTCCCCGAATAAAGGAGACAAAAAGAAAACGCCTCTAGTCCAAGCTGAGGATAGCACTACACCTGGGATAGTGGTGCCGACTGACAGGCTTTTGCCTCCATCTGAGGGCTTCCCATTGATGTAAATCCTCCAGTCTCCATCCCAGCTCCTCCATGATACACCAATGTGATACCACTGACCGGTGTTAACAGCTGGGCAATCCGTAATCCGCTCCTTACCGTTCACATACAGTACCCACCTGCAAATCAGATTAAGGAATGAAACAGCTGTTGATTATAAACACTTAAGTGAACAAAGAGTTTAACTTTAATTTTCTTTTTTCTGGCGTTTCTGACCCATTGTAGTCTATCAAAAGGAAAGCATTGTCGCTCCCTTCTACAGCGTAGGACAAGGGCGTGCCATAATTATTGGTGTCTGTTGACTTCATCCAGAAGGTACAGGTGATTTCTGTCAGCGCTGGCATTACTCCATCCATCATCACATAACTGTGGATACCAGACACCTCAAAGTCCAGGTTGAAGGCAGAGGACATCTCTGGGAGGACACATCAGGAAATTATCAAACCATTTCTGTAAGATGTATATTTTAAACTAACGTTCTTCTTGCAAGCCAAAGATAAATGCATGTGTAACCCAGTGTTAAAACACACAGTGTGCTTCCAAAACAACAAAGCTGCTAAAACATTAATTTAAAGGTATAGTTGAGGATATTTTTTTTGGGTGGATCATCAAAATAAGTGGTCCTCCTTCTTATTGTCAATCATTCTGGTGATATGTTTGCATAATGACATCCTACATGCACATCCCCATTTTAACTTACCCGGGGAGTGCGTACAGGGTTGAGCATGTCCTTTTTTTATTTTAAAGTGAAGAGGGCTGGTCTTTTTAAAAATTCGCAAAAATCCTCCACTATACCTTTAAAATCTATAAGAGAGACTTTTTAAAATATCTACAAATGTGTAACTTTACTGAGACAACATTCCCATCGTTTCCCAAACACCCACAAGAATTAGTAACAAGCAATATACTAGATGACCCTCTCAGATAGGGGTCCATTGTAAAAACATACCACCATCCCTCACAGGTTGCAAGTGCCTAGTTCAACCCCACAGCTTGCACTAACTCCACACTGCTCCCCGTGCGCCCCACAGTAGCAGCCTACTGCTCCCCAAGGGGATGGATCAAATGCAAAGAGTGAATTTCCCCATAGTGGGACAATAAAGGTCCAAAACTATAAAGGATTTGTCAGAAATTACAAAAGTTAAACTCCAAACAGGTGTATTATGTAATAATTTGGAGTCCTACCCTTAGATTTACATTTAAACACTTTGCAAATCCATGTTTTAAGATTTGTAGTTCCTAACTCCAGGTCTCATTGAAATAAAAAGACTAAAACCCATCAAAACCTTCTCAAAGAAATAATGCAAAAAATAAAATACTATCTAAAACATAAAGATTGTTTTATTCAACCCAAAAGCATTGAGAAATAGTTTGGGGGCAGATCTCCTTACTACTTGTGTGACATTTTATTTCTTTCTCTCAATGCCTTTTACTGTCCAGAATTCCTTGTGCCGCTGGTTTTTCTTTCCTCCTTTTCGTCCCCTGATTGTTATTACTCTACATATTACTCTAACTCATATATGTGCAAATGCAAACATCCCAATGTAAAATTAAAAAACTGTTAATTAAAAAGATGTTGGAAAAAGAACCCCAATATATATATATATATATATATATATATATATATATATATATATATATTTTAAACTGTAAAATAACAATAACAAAAATGGGCTTTAGGGCTACGGTATCTCTAGGACAGAACCACAAAATGACATAATGCATTTTAAACCACTCTAACGAGAGATAACTCTAAGTCAGCAGCCAGACCGTTGAGGCAACAAAGCATGATGTTTGTAAGGGGAATGTTTCTCAGGGTAGAAAATTTAATTACTTTCTACTTTTACACAGAACATCAGCAGATGTACTAAATTAATTGTATCAATATAGAAAAGTTTAATCTTCAGGAATAAAATCTGAAAATGATTATGTATAAAAAAATAAGACGTTCTGCTGCTTCCATTCACAGCGGCCATGTTTTACTCAATAACTACCTGGCTTGTTTATCTAATGTAGGCTATTCTAGTTGTATAGTTACTAGATAGAAGTGCTGGAATAAACTAGTACACTTATAAATATGTGTATTTGTTAAAACTATAATAGAAATTAGAGTGTCTTTATGACTGCTGTCAGAATCTATGCCTTTTGAAGATTAGGGTTTGTGGGAATTAACCACCGCTATGAGTTAGAGACATACAGGGTTTACTGCAGGGTGCTTTTAAATCCCCGGGTAGGGTGACAGTCTGATAGGTTTTTCAAGCCGTTTGTTTCAGGTAACCTTTATCACTGGACAACTGAACAAATAAATCTACCTCTTAGGTGCCTGTGTGCAATTTGGAGACTTTGTTAGACCAAGATGATTATTAATCTACTTTGCTTGAACTGTATGTAAAGTCATATATAATTTCATTGTTTTTCAGCAAATCTGAGCTGTGAGCTTGGCTGCTTCCAAGATTTAGTTTTTACTTATATTTTTACTTTATCGTAAATTATAAAAATGTAATAAAATAAAAGCCTAAAAAAACAGAAAAGTAAAGTTTCTTATATTTCATGTTGTGTTTTCTTTTCTGCAGTTGCCATGGTAATTTGGCATCTGTCTCATACAGTAGTACCTGTCTCACACCTGGATCCGTTGAACCCAGGGAGGCAGCGGCAGGTGTAGGACCCCTTGCCGTCAAAGCAGCTTGCTCCGTTCACACAGGGGTTAGGGGTGCACTCGTCCACGTCCACCTCGCACAGCCAGCCTCGAAAACCCTCTGCACACTCACACCTGAGCCAGGTGGGAGGAGATAAAGATGCACAACAGATTTGTTTTGAATAAAGTCCTCCTTAGTTTTTGTAAGCATAAATGCAAACTTTCTATCAACCGTTTTGTTCTTACCTGAAACTATTAACGCCATCTATGCATGAGCCACCGTTGAGACAAGGAGAGCTGTTGCATTCATCTATGTTGATCTCGCAGTCATCCCCAGAGAAACCCACAGCACAGTTACAGCTGTAACCTCCTGTCAGGTTTTCACACACGCCTCCGTTCAAACATGGGCTGGACAGACACTCGTTGATTTCCAGCTCACATCGAGAGCCTGTGGAACGCGTGACAGTTATGACACAAAGCCTCTCCTTTTTTTTTTTTTAACCACCACTTTAACAATCAAAATATAGGAAATAATCTACAATTATTGGCCGGGTTTATTAAAATCATACTTTCTGATTAGCAAGAAACTGCAAATGTTTTTTTTTTTTTAATTCAAGGATGGTTTCTGGAGCAATAAGAAACTTTACAAATTGAAAACAAAAAAAGACTAGCTGGATGCTCTTAAGACATATTTACTACTAACCTGTGAAGCCCTCAGCACAGCTGCAGGTGAACTTATTGACTTCGTCCACACACAGCCCCTCATTCAAACAGGGGGAGGACATGCACTCGTTTACCTCATCCTCACACAGTGAGCCTAAATCAGACAAACAGAAAGTCTTTCATAGCCTTTAAAGTTACAGTGACTCTTCAGTGCAGTAATAGCAAGATCACTGATTTTCTACCTAAGAAGCCAGGCTTGCATTGACACTGGAAGTCTCCAGTCCCATCAACGCACAGGCCACTGTTCTGGCAGGGGGCGGAGTCACACTCATTTATGTTGACTTCACACTTTGCACCTGAGAGAGAAATATTAGTGGATGATGCTGATGGTTTCATAACGACGATGTACAACAACGCCGCGGTTTACCTGTGAAGCCAGCCATACAGGTGCAGACGTAGCCTGCTCCTACCTCCTCGCATGTTCCCTCATTCTGACAGGGATTCAGAAAACACTCATGGAAAACCTGCAGGAAGAGAATTTAGAGTTTCATTTAAAGGCAACTTATGTTTGTTACTGTTTCCCTATGCTGACATATCTGAATATTTTAAAATTGTCATACCCCATCACACTTTTCTGCATTGATTTTCTTGCCATATACACACACACACACAGATGTTTTGCTAAATCAAGCTTCAGCAGCTCCTCTCTTTGACCCCCAGCGGTGGCAGAGGCAGTAATATAATCATTTCAGATGAACTGGATCAGAGACAGACTGTTCAGTGGACCCTAGGGAGCAGGGTTGGGAAACACTGGCTTATGCAATTGTATCTCAAGCAAACTTCGACTTTCTGGGGCTTGCAAAAATAGACTCTACCACACCAAAAATCTGTGCTACTGCTGCTGTTAGAGTTTGAATACATTATACACAAATTACTAGAATTATGTCAACGTGGCTGATGCCAGGTTAGGTTCTTTTATGTTGTTTTTAATTTTTCAACACCTGCATAGGTTATCTGCAATGCACATCTGCAAGGCATTTCAAAAGAAATTCTGTGATAACTAGCACTGCAAAGAACATACACAATAACTCATCCAGATATCCAACAGCAGTTATTATAAAAAAAAAAATTTATGGTCTTTCTCAATTAGCCTCATTTTTTTTTTTTTTTTTGGGGGGGGGGGGGGATTTTGTAATACAAATATAATTCACACTGAAGTGTAACTTTTAACAATAGAGTTTTCTTTAAAGCACATGGTCATATAAAAAACATATATAAGATCTAGTTTTTTCCCCCTAAAGCTGAATCAGATATCGGGCTCTAGATACATTTTATGTCGTAGAAATATACATAGAAGTTGCACACTGATTTGAAAACATTGCTAAAAAATGTCTTCAAATAAGTGTATTCCACCTAATTTTAGTAGGTAAATAAGATAATATTCCAATGAAATGAGTTTTCATCTCTTAGAATAAGATAATTGGATATTATACACTTGAAATCAGACAATGCAATTGCTTTTTTATCATTTTAAATGCAAATTGTCTTATTGCATTGGCAGAATATCTGACTTATCTGCTTGATTTAAGAAAGATGCACTTATTTCAAGAAAAAAAATATTCAGATTTCCATTTTTGCAGTGCATGTTGGATCCATGGCTGATTTAAATGCAGAAAATAAATAAATAAAATGATACAATGAAATGAAATGAACATTACAACTTCAGATAAGTAATTCATCATAATACAAGACTGCATCTTATGCAACAGGCAAGCTTTTATAGAATTGACAGAACTAGATATTTCCCAATATGCCCTGATTTGCTTGACCCTAAACATGTTTTATTCTAGATAAACCCATCCAGGCGGCAGAGTGAAAGCAGATTTTAAACAAATGAATAATCACCTGACTGCTGACTTCGTATTCCTCGCTGACCTCCACTTTTGGAGCATCGGTTACACTCTCCTCCTTAGCCAGAAAGCTTGAGCCAAAACCTATACAATGACATGGAGAGAACAGAGGATGTAAGCAGAAAGAAGTCTATCAAAAGCCACTTCATGGCTTTTGATAGACTTGTGAAAGTAAAATCTGTTGGGCTCTTTTTGGCATCAAGACAATTATTCTTATTGCCACATTGCCAGACAGGACACTGTAAAAAAAAAAAAAAAAAAAAAGTCATGAAGATTTAGATTTTAATAAAACTTATTGCATTAGGGCAAAAGTCAGAGCCTCCTTTAATCCACTGGGATCAACTCCTTTTCATGCAGGAAATCTACAGAGCTACAAGAGAAATAACTTTTCATTAGCTATAGTCCTGGCAGAAATAGGCCTGTAGTTATATTCATAACTGGCACTTTACTCTAACCACTGTTCATTCTTGCACTTAGGCATGCAGTGTGGTTTATTTCTATTGCTTCACAGCAATAAAAGCCTTATTATTACCATGTCCCCTAATCCTCCTCAGCAATCCTGTTTCCAACTGGATTGAGCTGTCAAGAGACAGATCAGCCACCACACAAGTGGTGTTAGACATGGGAAAGACTCCCACTAAGCAGTTCCTGCACAGCAATGTCAACATTTATTGACCTGGCCTACCAAGAGTTAATATAACTCACATGTAGGCCTAACTCTGTGGAACTAGTTTAACCCACTGAACTTACAGCACTAATCCTTTTCTCTTCAAATTCAGATGTCTATAAACAATACCATTATAACCATAATGACGGTGCCATTATTACAATTAAAACAATTATTTCAATAATTAGATTAATCAAACCATGTTGTGCATGGAAGAAGATTAGAGACATTAAAAAGACGACCACTGGAAAAAGGGGTTTTTGAAATATGATAATTCTCAGAATACTGACTTTAATCTCAGAATTAGGAGTCAAATTACATAGAAATCGACCGACAAACCTAATATTAAAAGTAGTCGGAGTTTCCTGAGAATAATTCTTAGATTAAATAATTCTGATAATAAGTTCATAATTCTGAGAATAAAGCCAGAGTTCCAAGATTAAAAAATACAATTTTTATCAAGTGAGAGTGCTGAGATTAAAGTCAGACTGCCTCTTTGGTTTTATATAGGCAAGGCAATTCATTAGTAGCACAATTCAGTACATGGACAAAAAAGTGCTTTACATGAATTAGATGATAAAATAGAAGAAAAATAAATTCAGAATACAAGCAAAAACATTTGTAAAACATTCGGACAATAAAAAAGCAGAATAAAAGCAAACAGGTAGAGAAGAAAATAAGTCATTTGGACCTCAACTTTAAACTAATAATACCTCAGTTAGGAGTTTAACTTCAACAGTCAAAGGCAATTCTAAACAAATTGGTTTTTAACCTTGACTAAAAAAGAACTCAGGTTTTCAGCACTTTTGTTACAGATAATGGGAGAAATTTAGAGGCCTTTTTTATGGCCCTAATCCCCCTCTGTAATCATGGCTTTTGACCAATTATCTGGTATAAAAAAATGCACATTTTAAAAGGAACTCTCAAACTCTTTGCGTGATAAAATATATAATAATTAAAAAAAAACTAACCAAAATACAAGAACAAATAAGGATCTTCAAAAAAAAAAAATCAAAAACACATGCCTGAGGATATTTTAAAATAGTCATGCAATGAGAAACAAAAGCAAAACGATTTCCAGTCGGCCTACTGCTCAGGAAGAGATTGGTCACAAAGTTAAACAGTTTTGGGAGCTCAATCTTATTTTATGAAGGCATTTTTCATGCACTGAAGGAACTAAAATAAAATATCTGGCCATAATGACGCTGGTACAGATGGAGGAAGAAAGAGAAAGCCTGACACCATCCTGATTGTGAAATACTGTTCAGGCAGCTTTCAGCTGGTGTTTTACTCTGAATGGGATTATTGTATGTAAAACAATTGAAAGCAGCATCAGGACAGAAGATAACTTTATGCAAAAAATATTAAATAAATCACTTAAGAAATGAGCCAGGAAGAGGCATGAAACATATTACCAAATAAGCTATACAATGGCTGAACCAAACAAGTAATTGCTTTGACTGCCATTCAAAAGCCCCAATTTTAATCGATACAAAGATAAACCATCAGTTCCTATGCATATAATAAACAAAAACAAGCATTTCTGGATATTAAATGACTGAAACAAATATGGCTTAATGATTTTCCAAAAAAGCCCCCGAAAGAATCAATTCCATCATACATGGCAAAATAAGTAAAGATTTAAGATTTGACAGTGTTGCAGAAAAAAAACCCTTTCAGGCCTGGATCACTTACTTGAGCAGTGCTGTATGCTGGATGCCCCGATTATTGTGGTGGTTCCATAGAAGGGACAGGAGAGGCAGTAGGAGCGCCCATGGTCGGGCTGGTAGTAATCTCTTGGACAAGGGTAGCAGGGAACCAGACCAGTGCGAGAAAAATGACCCGCATTGCAGGGAACTGAGGAGATATCAGAGGAGGATGGAAAAAGGAGTGAACAATAAAATTCATGGTTATTAGAAATAAAAGGGAAAAGTACATTAAAGCCTAATGTGGACACTCATAAATCATATAGAACCTTATGGCAATAGTCATACTGGTCTGCTTGTGAAAGCAAAGCTGATGAGCTGTCAGCTAGCTTTTGGACATTTTGTTATTATTATCATTTCAGTTCTTTTTCCATCCACATTAGAAACAAAAAATAAGTCCCGCTCTATATAATTAAAGATGATAAAGCTACAGTATTATCAGTCTGCTTCACCTCCACACTCAGCCTCATCCACTGCTCCTCTGGTGACGGTGGAAGTCCCACCAGGACAGGCTAAACATTTCCTGGCACCATAACCAGGCTGGAAGTGACCCAGTGGACAGGACTCACAGATCTCCAGCCCATTCAGAGAGTGACTGCCGGGTTTACATTGCCCTGCAGACACACACATATCACAGCACCAACAAAACTTAAAAAAACTTTACTTTAAACATGTGAGGAAAATTATTAGAACGAAACATTTTGCTGCTGAAGGATAAACCAAAATGCATAGGCTTAAGAGTATTGCCATCAATGAAACACACCTTTGCACTCGCTGACGCTGCGGGAGTGCAGATAGGCTGTAGATGTTCCTTCAGGGCAGGACTTGCACTCCAGCTGACCTTCCTGGTCTTGGTAGGACCCAAGCCAGCAGCTCTCACACTCATTATGTTCCAGAGAAAAATATGTTCCCACTGGACATTGGACTGCAGAGAAAAAAAATTCTACACTTAGTGACACCTTTGGTCGTGTTAATGCTATGTGCATAAATTTTATTTTATTTAACTTAAATATATTATTTTTTTAATCTTACCACACATTCTGCCTTTGAGCACAGAGCCTGGCCTGCAGAACAGGGAGGCCTTTTTGCTCTCAAGTGATCTGGGATCAGCAATGATCATCTCTGAGGATAAGTGGTAACTGGACAATGGCTGTTTCGCCAAGGTCCGTTTCAACCGATTGGTGAGCTGTTCTAGAGTACGCAAAAGCCTCTTCTGATTGGCCACTTCCACTGAGTCGTTCCTCGACAGAGGCAGAGGGATGCTTGCTGGGGGAATGGGCAAAGATTAATGCGTTGACATAAAGAGACCACTGGAGAAAAAAACGAACAAATGAGTGTTTTGTAGTGTTATTTCTGGGTTTCAGCTCTGTTTTTCCCAGCATTGAGACCACCAAATTATCTCCTGGATCTCCACAATGCTTTTAATACCAATGGAGAAACTAAAAAGTGGGTTTTTCTAAAGGCATGGGAGGTTTCTGCATCCTCACCATCAGTTTCAGTCTCTCTAATGAAGGCTGGGAAGAGGAATTGGGTGTTATCATGGTAGTTTTATAAGCAGAATGAGAGATTACTGTTATCATGCTTTAGCAAGTGTAGTCTAAAACAGCCATCATCAACTCAAGATCCAATAAATATTATTAATTAATATTTAAATCAAAATATAAATTGGATTAGCACTTTGACAATTAAATTATTGCACAAGGTTTTTCTCCATCTCCTTCTGATTAAGTACAACACTAGAGGCTTTCTTAAACAGCGCAGCAAAGACAGTTTGCTTTTAAATGTGTGCTTTAAACACTCAGTGCAGCTCGGTCTCAGCTACTAGTCAGTTTGTATAGATAGAAGGAGTGCGTCTTCTCCACCCTTTTTCATGGGGAGGTTAGGGGAACGCTGGTATCTAAATGCAAGGAGCATGAATGTGGTTATTTATATCCTTTGCTTCACTTTATAACTATGTAATCTAAAAACTGAATCATCTATTAGCATGGGTTATTCATTGCAGCTACACGGTGTGATCCATTTGCTGCGAGGGATCTGGGTCACACATTTTAGAAAAACTGCTCATCCTATACCAGATTTCTTCATGCAACACCCAGAAACAAAACAGTGAGAAGGCTAACCTGCTGCATGGCGCCTAAAGAGGAGTGTACCCATGCAGACCACCCACAGTCCTCCATATTCTTTGTTAATTCCTATTTGTGTTGTTGCTAATCTAGTTGCTGTACAGGGCATCCAGAAACACTGAGTATTATTCTACCTGTGATGTTGAAATAAATTTGGATCTTGTGGTCTCTGGTTGGACCTCTGATCTTTCTGTGCCTCTTGCTGCGGTGATGAGGTCTCGCGCTGCTTTCCTGCTGACGACTCGGGAGCTGCCTGGTCCCTGTGACGAAGCCTGACTCAAAGTAGGCATAGTCCTGTGCACCCTGAGAGCCCCAGTTGTTGGCCCACCCGCCTGGTGCTGTTGTTATAAGCAATAAAGTCATAACTGTTCACTGAAATTGCAAATTAAACATTTTAACACTAGAGGGATCACCTACCAATAGAATATCCATTCTCATAGTCATAGTTGTACTCTAGACAGTGACCCTGAGACATGACCTCCAGCTTACAGGTGATTTCATCGCTGCTACAAATGTTTGGAAGCTAAAGAGAAGGGGAGGGAGCACAGTTAAGCAGGCTGCATGTATGTTTCATAGTGTGTATGCATTGCTCCTTACCATGCTTCCCAGTTTAGCATTAAAATCACCAGCAAACGACTTGATGAGGTCTGCATCATCACATCGAGATGCTTTAAACAGCATCTCAAAGGGCTTATACCCATTATTGGCTATACGGTTCACTGAAACAGAAACAAAAAAAAAGAAGAATATGCGGTATTTCATTTTATAACAGAGATTTGACTATAAATCCCTTCTGAGGTCAGAAAACAAATTCCAGAAGCATTTGTGCACTCACATGAGCAGTCTGGTCTGTCTGAAGAGTAAGCCGGCTCCCAAACTCCATTGTAGGCACAGAAATAGCTGTGCACTGCATCTTGAGCGAAGCTGTATCCTTCTTTACACTGCAGAGTACAATTAACTCCATCCTCTTCTTCAATGCAGATGAACTCTCCATTCACCGGGACGTACGGCTGATCACAAGTCATCCCTGGGCGAGACGAAAACACAACAGGATATATCAATAACACATCATGCAGGTGCAGCCAGCGTCTTTTGATGCACCTCAGTACATTTTTATTTCTGATTATTTTGACTTAAGTGCATACACAGAATCATATAACCAACCCTTAGCTTCTTAGGAAATCAAAATAGTACTTAAAGCCAATAAAAAATTATTTTAGTATTGATATTTAAATCTGGAACGTATAAGTAGGCAGTATACAGTGTGCCGGATCCTCATTAACAAATATATCAGCTCCTCAGTTGCCTCTGGTCCAGTGTGAAGTCTCCTTGGAAGCCATGTCTTCATCTGGTGTTGGATGTGTATTTAAGTTCAAAGTTAGGGCAGCTATTCACCAGGTCATTTTAAAGACTCATATGTCTTTATATTTCAACAAGCTTCATGGGGGGTTTATTTTCCAGCAGGACTTGACACATGCCCTCAAATTATTAGTAAAAATAAACCGATATCAGCTTTTATAATAGCATTACTGTTGTTGGATGACCAGAAAATCCACCTGATCCTAAAGCCCACCTAGAATCTAAGGCATATTAACAATGTAAGCAATAAGCAATGAGCACAAGCTAAAGAGAACTATTTTAGATGTATATAAAAGCAGCCTAACCTTCCTCACCTCTTCAGTTCTGCCACAGGCTGATTACCTTCATAACAAAACAACCAGGGTTTGAGTTTATGAACTAAATTGTACATTAAACATTTTTTTAATCGGCATAGATTTATATATATAAAATATTTTCAGTAGTCTTATGTGATAATTGCTAAATATTTTGAATAACTTGACTTTCCACTGGTATGATTATTAAAAATAACATCTTTAATTATATATATGTAATAAATTGTTATAACTTTGACTATGGGTGTCATTTTGTGATTTGAGTTACTCAAAACATTAGCTTTACAGTGGGATATATTTCACTATATTTCACTATTTTTTTATATTCCCTTTTTTGGTGTTTGGTCATTTTTTATCTCATCAGAGTGCTTTTCTGTTGATATTTGTGTACCCTCTAAAAAAAACATAAATATGGTTGTTTCTAGGTGAAAAAAATAAAGCAATATTTTTAATATCTATTTAAATAAAAAATGGAATAAAATGAAAAAAAAAAAAAAAAAAAAATCAATTGCCCTCTTACTGACTCAGAATACCCGTCTCACCTTGAACAGTTATGGTGAGGTTGCAGACGCGTTTGTTTCCTGCTGCATCAGTTGCAGTGTACTGGACCACAGTTTCTCCTACTGGGAACAGGAAGCCTGGTTTATGGCTGCTGGTCACAGTAAGGCGACCACCTGTGGACAAAAAAAGTGGTTGAAAGGGAAGAAAAATGAAGTAAAGAATTGATCTTAGAACTGAACCAAATCACTGTGACGGTATTCAGTATCCCCATGAACAAAAACAAACCACAACA